GGCGGGGGGAGGGGGGGGGCCGTCAGCAACCAGTCACCAGTGCTGGTGGCAGCTCACACAGAGGAGCCAAGGTGAGGACGCAACTGGGGGTGAGGTCTGCTAGGGCGCGCGTGCTTGGTGAGGGTGTGGGTCATCGTGAGACCGCGGCGAGCGGCAATAATGACACGGGGCGAAGCCTCCAGGCGTGACGGCCAGGCTGCAAGGCCTGCACGTTGCCCATGGGACGCCTCAAGACAGCTCCTGCACCCGCGCCCTTTTCCAAGCCTTTGTAGGCCCACGGTTTCCGCTACAGATCACCCGGTCACCAAAACACACACACACACACACACACAAAACACACACACACACACAAAACACACACACACTCTCTCTCTCTCTCTCTCTCTTCCGCTCTCTCTCTCTCTCGCGCCACAAGGAGAAGGGTAAGCCGTGCGCACAAAGCGCACGCGGCACGTCGCGGCGGCGGGCGCACCTTGTCAGTGAGCAGCGCCGACAGCGTCGCGTACGACGTGTCGCAGCAGTCGTACAGCGCCAGCAGCTGCTGCACAATCGGCGTCCCCCACAGCACGCGCCCGGCCGCGAGCTTCACGTCGTGCAGCTTCGACACGGGGCTGCGCCGCCCCTTGCCCGCAAAGGTGTAGTACGCGCCGCGCGCCTGGACGCCCATCGGCTGGTAGCAGAAGATGTAGCGGCGGGAGGGGTCCGCGTCGAACGCGCCCGGCTGGCCGGGCTCGGCGTAGGTGAGCAGCAGGTCACGACGCATCCAGTCCCAGATCGGCAGGCGGCTGACTGTACGCGAGACGACGCCGCCCAGCAGCTTGTACACGGCGTTGGGCAGCGGCGTGAAGATGTGGAGCACGAGCGCGGCGAAGAAGCTGGCGGGGCCGAACCAGATCCACTCGTAGTAGAGGGAGAGGGGCACGAAGAAGAAGAGGCTCACGAACCACAGCAGGAACGTGAACGGTGCGCGCTTGGGGTGCGAGCAGTCGAAGAGGTCGTCCCAGAACGTGAAGAACAGCGAAAAGTTGACGCGCGGGTTGGTGTGGTGGTCCTCGTGGTCCATAGGGACGGCCGCGTTGGCGGTCACCAGCTGGATGAGCAGCATGGGGTTGATGGCCAGCAGGGCGACGTGGTGCCACTCGTCAAGGGCCAGGTCGTAGCCGCTGTGGCCTGCGGGGCGGTTGTGCGTGTTGGTGGGGGGATATGCAGGGTGTGGGTGTGATTGTGAGTGTGAGAACCTGAACGCGGGTGCAAGGAGGGAGGGTCAGGCTGTGGGTGCAGCAAGACGCGTGCGCCCTGGGGAGTGAGGGCCGTTACAGGTTGCAGGTCAGGGGCGGGAGGGGCGCAGCAGGGTTGAGGGTCAAAGGTATGGGGTTGTCCAATGCAGCATCATCATCACAGCGGCGTGAACATTTGACAGGTCATATCAGATGGGGTTCTGCTGCCGCAGCAAGCGCATTTGAATGTGCAACGCGCCCCGCGCGCTCACCAAACACAAAGATGCACGCGATCGTGTGCATGGGCACGAACAGCGTCCAGAAGTTGCCGATGTGGCACCCGAGCAAGGCGACAAAGCCGACCGGGATGCCAACAACCATCAGGCCGTCTATGGGGTGCTCGAACGAGTTTGATGTCACATTCAGGTAGGCGTCGTTGCGGTGGTGCATCGCGTGCACGTGGCGGAACAGCCACTTGTTGATGTGCGCGTAGCGGTGCACGAAGAAGAACCAAGTGTCGTAGGCCTGGCGCGGAGGGGGTGGCGCAGGCGGGGGCGAGGAGGGGGCCGAGTGCATTCAGGCGGTGCGGGGAGAGGGGCAGCTGAAAAGGCGCGGGTGGTCGGCAGGTGCAGCGGGGCCTATGCCTGCTGTCCAGACGGTCGATTGTTGGCCAACCCGGGTGGCTGCTGGCAGGCGCTTCGAGGTCACGGCCGCTGCCAGAGGAGCAACCAGGACCGGGCCCGTCAAGCCCACACACCATGATGATTGGGAGTTGGTACCACAGGAGTTTAGTGAAGGGAAATTCAAATCCCCACGAGTCCATGGTTGGGTTGTACCTGCAACCAGACAATGGTGGGCGTGCATGGCCAGTCAGTTCTCTGCCCGGGGCCTGGCTGCAATACTCTTGAAGACTGATGATGTTGAATGGATGAGATGCCAACAACAGCCGCTACCGCCGAGCCTGCAAGTCTAGGTGCAGGTGGGGTGTGCAAAGCGGTACACCAGCTGTGCTGCATGGCAGCTGCGAGCACAGGCGTGCAGCCAGAAAACTGACGCCAACGTGCCACTCCCACAAATCTGCCGCAGCCCTGCTGTCGCCGCCACCCCTGGCGCACACTGCGCCGCCCCCGTCGTTGCCGTCACCCTGGCAGAATCCGTGCCCTGACCCACTTTCCCCCACACTGCCCTGCCGGCCTGCACTGCCCTCCCGCCCCGCACTGCCCTCCCGCCCGGCACTGCCCTCCTGCCCCGCAGCTGCCACGATTTGCAGCAGCCAGGTCCCCAGGCAGCGCGTGGCGCCCCTGTCCGTCAGCCCTCGGCCCCTCATCAGCCCGCTCACCACGCCTGGACCAGCCCGGCGCCGATCATCCATGAGTAGTACCCAAAGACATCCGCCAGCAGCATCCTGGACACCGGCAGTGCCGGTTCCCGGGTGTTCTTCTTGGAGAGCCCGTTGCGGTTGTAGACAGTCAGCACGCCCCAAACCAGCATCTGCACGATGAGGCTGTGCGCCACCCACGACGACGTGTACGCTAGCGTGCGCAATGCCAGCGGCGCCGCGGCTACTGTGGAGCCTAGCCACGGGAGCATGGCTGCTGCGCTGCGCCCGCAGTGTCCGCGCCTACAGTGCTAGCTGCCCTCTGCGTGCTCGACGGGACGGCCTCGGTGGTCGCCCTGCGCAACGGACTAGTGTTGTGGGCGCCGTTGCAGGCGCCACTGACGCTGCCCTGCGCAAGCCAAGCGCCAGCAGGCCACAAGCACGGGTGATTTGGCTTAATCTCAAATCAAAGCGACCACCTTGGGCTAGTCTAGCCCAACGCTGTGGCGAAGGCCCCGCGTTTGGGGGGAAGGGCCCGGGTTACCCACCTGGGGTCCGGCGCGAGATTGATATTTATGCACCTAAGACTCCACAGAGATGACGAGCGTGCCCCGCGCGGCGCGCTACAACGACGGGTGGGTGCGACCGTAAGGCGGGCACGGCACGGCACGCACAGGGTGTCGTCCGGTCAATGAAAGGGATGCGCCACGACGAAAAAATATATCTTTATCACGCACCGTGTGATATCAGGCGGCATTCGCCGCAGAGCGACATGCGTCCAAATCAACTGGCAGCGACTCGCGCATGATCGAATGCACACCCTCATGAACTGACTTCCGATTTCGGCGCCGCGTTCCCGCCACCCACGGCCCCAGATGTGTTGCAACGCGGTGACCCAACCCCTATCTGCGCCTGCACTCACTGGCCACAGCGCACAGTGGGTGGTGGCAGGGGCAAGCCCTGATACACCAGCTCAGATCTCTGCTCAAGCCCCAGTTGCTGTGTCCCACGGGCGTCTCCAATGCTGTATTTCACATCATCACAGCAGCATCACTGCTGCACGATCAATAGGGCGCGTGCCGGGCAACCGATGGGCGCAGGGTTGCCGCCTGGGGCGGCGCACACCCCAGCCCCGAATGTCAACTGCGATATTCCAGCAGCGCGTGCACAGTGAATTTGGGGCCGTCGCTGGCATGGTGATGTCAATCCCGCCAGGGTAATGGCCGGCACGCCGGCAGCCAATCAAGCAATGCAGACAGTACAAAAACAGCCGAGCACCTCACCAAAGTAATTGGCACGCAACTCCGTGCCTCACCCCCCTCCACGAGGCTCTCTCACACCAGCACCACCCCAACACAGCCAACCGACCACTCCATCATCACGGCGCTGGGCCTTGTCATCAGCAAGCCAGCCAACACCCTCTTGTGCACCACAATCAATCCACCGCCGGCTGCGGTTGCGGCTGCGGCTGCCACGCCTGGCCCCACGCCTGCTGCCGCCGCTCCCCCACAGCCTCCTCGCGCTGCCCATGCAGCCCGTCCCGCGCCTCGGCCTCCGCGTCCGCCTCGTCGATCGCACGCTTGGCAATCTGGCCGATGAAGCCTATCGCCAGCAGCGAAGCGCCAACGCCGACAGCCACCTGCCAGGGCGCGATGCTGAGCGCGCTCTCGCCGCCCTCCATCAGCACCGCGCGGCCCAGGTGCCCCGCGGTGACGTAGGCGTAGGTGCCCGGCAGCATGCCGACGAAGCTGCCCAGCACGTAGCTGCCCAGGTCCACGCTCGTAAGGCCGTAGAACCTGGGGAAGGGTGGTCGGAGATTCGAAAGGTGGGGGTAAAACCAGTGTGCAGCATGGCAGGCGATGAGGCGCGCGGGAGCGCTGACAGAGGGGAGCAGCGAGCACAAGGCAGGCGGGGGAGGGGAAGGCCGGACTGCCCCTCGCCACGGGGCACCCAAGAAGTGCGTTTTGATAGTTGCGATGTCCAGGCCTGGCCTTGTCAGCCCGCCGCCAGCCCGCCCACCAGTTGGAGAGCGCGAGCGGCAGCAGCGGGCTGAGGCGTAGCAGCGTCACAAACTTGAGGCCGTTCTGGCTGATCGCGCGGTCGATGGCGGCGAAGCGCTTGTTGCGCTGGGCGAACGACAGAATCTGGGGTTTGAGGAGTGGCGGGGCGGGCCGCACCGGATCAACACCAGGGAAAAGGTGATGCCCCGTGGAGCCATGCCCATGACGCGCCTGCAAAGAGAGACCCACGCTTCCCCCTGCCGCGCGTCGCAGCTGGCCTGGCGCAATCCCGCTTGGGGGGCGTGCAACATGCCCAGGTAATGCGCCCTCACCCGGCCGCCCAGCCGCGCGCCGCACCTTGTCGCGCGCCGCGTAGCGGGCTATGAGGAACGCTATGGTGGCGGCCAGGGTGGCGCTAATGGAGACGATGACGGTGCCCACCGCAGGGCCAAAAATCACGCCGGCTGACATGGTCAGCGGCACCGCCGGCATGGCAAGTACCTGCGCGCCGCCGCGGGCGCGAGGTGAGGACACGTGAATATGTGGGGGGAGCGTTGCCGCGGCGCCCCTGCACCTGACGGCTTGCCGCCCGCGTGCGAGCCGTCCGCAAGACAAGATGTGGCGACAAAGGGTTCTGCGGGGGTCACGCGCCGGGCTTCAGAAACCAAACGGTAACGCCAGCCATGTTGTTGGTTCTGCCCGACACCACCGGAGGCTGCGCACCCAAGACGGCCTGGAACACCACTGTCATACAACGAATGCACATGATAGAGCATGCGCAAACGCGCACGCAGAAACATGCGCATGCAGGCGCACGCGCGTACACACACACACACACAC